AAATAGCATGTGCAAAGATATAGATATGCCTAAATTAAAGAAATAAAAAGGTCAACAGGATGGGAGACAAGAATATAAGAATATGTAATGTGGCTGAATTGGCTTAAAGGCATACATACATGCAAACGGGCTCTCCTCATTTCTGAAATTCTCTGATTTTGATATCATTCTTTTTAGAATACTAAAAAATAGATATAATTTTCTGGAAAATATAGAGTCATTTACTCTATACTCTGGAGTATTACTCTGGAAAATATAGAGTCATTTACTCCTCCCCAGGCCAGGAGACCTAGTGGTTAAGGTAGCCAACATAATATTCATCTTTTAAAAACAGAGGAAAGATTAACTCTGGACATGGTGCACTGTTCATCTTTACATTAGCATCTGAATAAAATCTACAACTACTTGAATCAACTAGAAGTGCTAAAATCTCTATTGATTACCAACATGGTTATGAAAAGGATGTCATAACAAATAGAATTTATTTTCTTTGTATGATTCAGTGAAAGGTGTATACATATACAGCAATAGATAGAATTTCTCTAGCCTGCCCAAAGCTATAGCATCTGCTATAGTGGGAAGAAGTCTCAGCTGGACGAGAAAAGACCAAGGCTGGTCCAACACTATGCTAACTCTGATATGACTTTGGGCAGGTCCCTTCTCCTATGAGAATGACTTTAATGTTCTAATGTCTAACTGCTGGATGAACAAGTTTCTAAGGTCATTTCATACTTCATTCCAGTACTGAAATTCTGTGTTCATAAAAAAAGGGCACTCATATGTTATATTTTGTATTAACTAATTTCCATTAGATTTTATTTCATCACTTGTAATCACAGCTCTGAAAAAAATACAGCAATAATAGATACTTTTGGCTGAATGCCTGTTTGTACCAAGGTCTATGTTAAGGGCTTTACAGATATTTTCTCATTTATTTTATGCAACAGTCCTGATAGAGAGGTAGATATTATGCCCATTTCATAGGTGAGAACGCTGAGATTTGAAGAAGTTAATTGACTTTCCCAAGTTATTTAGATATAACTAGTCAACTCAGAATTCAAACCCTCTGATTCCAAATCTTCTGTTCCTTCCCACTTTTCAATGTTCCTCTTAGTGCATTGAGAAAATTTCAGAGGAATGTTAGAATATTAAAAGATTTTATGTAGAAATTTGATGCTATAAAGGAAAGGTCTGAGAAAGTGTGGTTGTTCAGCTGGTTCTCATATCAAACACTAAACTGGGGGTAGCCCAGGTGGCTCAGGGGTTTAGCGCCACCTTCAGCCCAGGGAGTGATCCTGGAGACCAGAATCGAGTCCCATGTTGAGCTCCCTACTTGGAGCCTGTTTCTCCCTCTGCTTGTGTCTCTGCCTCTCTCTCTCTCTCTCTCTCTCTCTCTCTCTCTGTCTCTGTCTCTCATGAATAAATAAATTAATAGATCTTTTTTAAAAAAAACCACTAAACTGTCTTCCAGTAGATCAAAGATTGAGTGGCTAAAAATTAAACTCTGGTTGTACTAGAAGAAAATATGGGTAGTTTGTTAAGTATATTGGAGAGGGCTAGATATAAAACTCAAAAGCTAAAATGGAAAAAAAAGGGATAAATGTAATTGTATCAAACATTTTAAACTTCTGTATGGCAAGAAATAGCATACCAGGAAAAAGTTAACAGTTACAATACAATAATACAAAATACAAATACCAAACTAATAAGAATATTTGCAATAGTTATCTGAGATGAAACACTAATATTCTTAATAGGCAGATAAATATTTAAAAGAACAAACTAAACAGGGACACCTGGGTGGCACAGTCAGTTAAGCATCCAATTCTTGATTTTGGCTCAGGTCGTGATCTCACAGTCCTGGAACCAAGCCTTGCATTGGGCTTCACGCTCAGCAAAGGGACTCTGTTTCTCTCCTTGTCCCTCTGCCCTTTCTCCCGACTCTCTCTCTCATAAATAAATAAATATTTTTAAAAACTATTCAAATAAAAAATAGGTGAAATAAGAAAATTGCCATTTTATGCAAAAAGAAATGCAAATAATTAGCAAACATATAAAAAGATGCTTAACTTCATAATTCTTAGAAAGGTAAAAGTGAAAAATATATTTGTGTACATATCAGAATAGCAAAGGTCAAATATTGCAGTATATGCAATTTCTACAAGACTGAGGAAAGTCAATCATATTTTATTTGTGGGAATATACATTTTTGGAGACAACTTGGCAATAGCATCAAAATTTAACACTTCATACCCTTTACCCAACAACTTAATATTACATGGTATTTATTGCAGCATTGTTTAGAATAGCAAAATACTGTAACAATCGAAGGGGCCATCAAAGCTACACTGTTAAAATAAATTTATGTTGCATAATAGAACATAGCTATCAAAAGGGATGAGACACTGTATAGAAATATATGAATGAAGAAAGTTCTCTAAGATATATTAGTAAGTGGAAAAGATAAAAGTATGAAAAAATATACCTATAATATCTTATTTGTACAAAATTTTAAAGTTTTAACTTGATAACCTGCTTATGTTCATAACAAAAATAATTGGTAGTATATATAAGAAGCCATCAAAATGTTTATCCTTAGAATAATAAGAATTAGGGGGATCATTTTATTTTTATGCCTTTCATATTGCTTTAATTTTCATGTATGTGCATTATGTACATACATTAATTTTATTTTTTATATCAATACATTATTTGGGCAAGAAGATTCTGGCCTTTTTCTTTTTGCTTATTCCTTTATGAGTGTCTGGTTGTTTCGTGAATAAATAATTATGTTAAAAACATACAAGAGCAAATTAAAAGAATCGAGTAATACATGTACCCTTTGACTTAGAAAGTATCTTTCTAGGGAATTTGCCCTTCAGAAACACCTTCCTAAGTGTTTGTAATAACAAAAAGCTGGACACAACCTTACAACCTTACAATGGTAGGAATCCTATTGCAAAAAATGCTGGTCTATCAATACCATGGACTCCTGGGTTCCTGTTAAAAAGGTAAAATGGTATGAGCTGATATGGAAAGTGTCCAAGATATATTGTTAAATGAAAAGCAAAACAGAAACAAGTTATAGAAAGAAAAAAAATATATATATATGATCCTACTCACTTAAATAAAGATGTGGTGATATATTAAAATATATAAAGAAACAGAAATAAAGTTATGTGCATACATACACATATAGTAGATTTCTAAAAAGTATACACAAAAAACTGCTAACATTGGGTGCTTCTGAGAGTAAAGATGATGAGGGGATTTTTTTACTTTTCCTTAGATACCTTTCTAAAACATTAGAATTCATTTACCATGATCATATATTATTTTTTAATAAGATATTAACCCTAATTGTTTGACAAGAGAAGAGATTATTTGGCCCACAGAGTTTGTGCATTTAGCTTCCTGCAGGCAAGAGCCTACATCTAATTACTTTTCCTGTCTCTTCCAGCTGTCTGAGTCATATCATGACTCATCCGTGCCTAGACAGTCTCTGAAATGACTGTCATCTACTAACAAGTGAATCCGGAATTCTGTAGTTCAAGTGAATCCGGAATTCGGTAGTTCAAAGCGTCTTTAGACTCAAAGAGCCTCCCAGTCACTTCCCTCTGAGGCAGAAGAGTATTGAGTCTTAGGAGGCAAAAGCACAGTCATTCAGCTGGTGAGTGGCACAGTTAGGCCACACCCAGCTCAGGGGACTTCTTGATGTTACCATGTCATCAATGATTTCAGTAAGGAGTTCACCAGAATAGAAAGCCAGTGAAGAGGCATGGAAAATTATAAAAGTAGATAAGGAGACTTTCACAAAGTTATTATGAGAAGACTAGGATGTGGAATTAAAGATTACATATATTCCAGGCCTGACAGGGAAACAGGGGCAACTCACTATCCACCATCCAGTGTCATTGTCTAAGAGGATCAATAAAAGGCAAAATAAAATTTTATATTTTACATGTGTTTGGTCAAGTTGTTGTTATTTTTAATTTTTCATCCATGGTAGCCAACCTCTCTGTAATAAAAGGAAGCAGATTTCTGGTTTCAACTGCAAAAAACTAGGTCTATGTAGGTTAGAAAAGTGGAATTACTATGTGTTCAGTGGAAGCAGAAAAGCTTCTTAAGGGCTTGCCTTGTTCACCTTTGTTTTCCACCCATGGTCCCTCTCCTGGGGCAGAAACAGAGCCCTGTCATTGGAAAGCACTCAGTAATTATGTTATGTTGACTTAGACTAAATTGATTTGAGAAAGATTTTAGCTTTTACTTCTCATTAAATTTGACTTCAGAATGATTTTTCCCTCTCAGCAGAGTTTTATGCTTGTTTTTTAGATGTTCTGTTTCTCTTTTGGCATCAGCCCCAAAATGGGAGTTAGCAACAGCAACATAAACTCCAGGCATTCTTTATTTCATTTTGTCAGAATTCATTCTGGAATTGTACGTGAGAAATGGGGCAGTCAAGTTTATTTTGGAACAAGGCTCAGGGCTGTCTAACCAAGCTCAGGATGACAGGACCAGGCACATGACCAAGAAGAGGGATTTGGCGGGTAGCCAGCCGCATTTCATACAGTCTACTCAGAACCTCATCTGAATATATTAATCTGTCAGCACATACTCATCTATGTACATTACATGTGTCTCTCCTTATTATCCTGTTTTTCTTCTAATTTTGAAGGCTCATATCCACCCCAGAAATCTAGGAAACTCACAGAGACATATTAAATGCACACACTAAAATTATTGTAGACATGCATAGACACAGTTTCAGCCCAGGCAGACATGCTATAAATGCCACAAGATGAAATTTCATGTCTTTGCTAACTGAACATTGTCAAGAGCCTGAAACTTTCTAAGTAACACTCAAATGCCTTGGTAGGACAGGAGGGGTTTTGGGGCAGGTGACATAATCTTTGACAGCTTCTCAGGTTGGAGAAACGTTTTTCTTCTATCAGAGTAATATGCCTTTCAAAATACCAAAATTCTCTGGCTTCCTCTTTCAGGTGAATGGCATTGACCTCCGTGGAGCATCGCATGAACAGGCTGCCGCTGCACTGAAGGGGGCTGGACAGACGGTGACCATTATAGCACAATATCAACCTGAAGGTCAGTGAGAACCCAGGCTTACAATGTCCCCATATATTTTTTTGTGAATGCGCACCCACATTTCTGATCACCTGTATTAACCAATCTCCACCAATTAGGGTTTTTCTTAACTATCCTGAAAAAAGATTTTAACTATCCTGAAAAATGGGTGCCCCATGTTCAAAGAACATGAAGCTTCATTACCCTTAATCTTCCAAGGAAAACATCAGTTAGAAAGTCTTGTTTGAAAAATGAATTTGAAAAAAAATATGAAACCTAGAGTCAGCTTTTTTATTTACGTTCTAATCTGGTATACATATTTGGTCAGCAATGGATACTATCAAAAGAATTAATGTGGACTAAGCATCAAATTGACATGAGACAGATTAATAGGAGAAAATCAGATTTCATAGCAGATGTATGGGGAATCCACAAAGACAGGCAAAATAAGGTAGATATGTCATCTTGAACTAAGAAGCAGGCAGGGGTCTGGGGCTTCGGAGGAAAGGAGTGCGCTCACAGAGCCATAAGAAGAACAGATGTTTGGTAATGAGATGTTTGCCTTGCCGTACAGATGGGTCACTCAGATAAAATTTATCTCTGCTAATAACCCTTGTTCTGGGAAAGACCCCCGAGTGAGATTCTTCTGTGTATTTATAGGAGGGGCAAAAGTTTCTCTTGAGCCTGTAGGGTTTTGAGATTGCCTTCAGGTCAAAATCCACATGCCAAAGTGGCACATTTGGTGGGGGAGGGTGGATGTCCTGAATCCCTTCAGAAGCAGGAAGGAGAGAGAGAAACAGACATGATCAGTGGACCATATTCTCTCTTTGTGGCATTAACTCTTCTTAACACTAACATGGTTTTTGGTTGTCCGTGATGTGGATTTTTTTTCTCGTTCTTTCTGCTATAGTATTTGTAATATATTCTTGTAAACTCTGAAACTTGGTGAGGTATCATAAATCGAATTAACCAACTGAGACTTGATAAGATATCCTAAATTGCATTAGTCATACCCTACTCTTTGGTGTGTTTCAACATCTGTTTCTATGATCAGAATAAGGTTCAATGAGACAACCTGGACATTACCTGTTATGTAGTTGATTTTTCTGCAAATTTGTATGTAGATTACTCCCTTTTGCTAATGAAATGCAGTTAAGCACGCTACAGTGGGCTAGACTTTTTACATAAAGCAGAGGAATGTGGTTTCTGTCTTTAAGAAATGTAGTTAATTACCCTTGGTCCACATGGCTAGCAGACAGGACTATTAAACAGATAAACATGAAAGTACAAGATGCCATTAAGGGAGAGCCTTTTTGCGTAAGGGTATGAAGAGTTTCTTTGACCTTGTAAAGTGATTCTTTCTTAATGTCAGTTGGTCTGTTTTTCTTTAGAAGGCTGAGGTTTGTGTCTTGGCTGTGGCATCTTAGATTTTACCGTAATGGTGGCCAACTACATATTTCACGTGAAAATAAAACACTCTGCCATATGTCTTTGGAATGTTATATTTATTTTGCATGCCTTTAGAATTAGAATTTGCAATTGAGTTATTAAGAAAATGTATTAAATACCTTCTCCTATTGGCCTCACCCAGTATGGCCAGAGATCTGGGAAAGAAGGGATTTGTGTTGTCAAAGATGAATGATGACAGCACCGGGGGAAAATGTTCTTCCCAGACAGTTTTGAGTCTTTCTATTCTTAAAAATTAGTAGACATGTCTTCTAATAGGAATAAATTGGCCCCCAAAGTATCCATTGTAAAACAGAAAATAAAAACATCTGGGTTAGCATAATTTGATGAGCAAATTCTACTTCATATAGAATAAGAACTTTTCCATGGGATTTTTCCATATTCTTTGTAGCTGTTTTCATTCAGTCTCAAAGTGCATGCCTTTCACCATAATCTGGCACATGGCATAAATATCCCAGGCTGTTTTCCTATTTTTGAAAAATTTCATCTCAAACACCAGTTACACCAATTAGAAGCCCTTTCTAGTAAAGATAGCCATTCAAATGACCTTGAACAGAGTGATTTTAAACTCATAAGGGTTATATGAGAGAACAAGCATGTCATAGTCCTATCACATAAATCTTCATCTTCAGCTTCCTACAGCTTTTGTTTCCTTTTAACAGTATACTTAGTTTGGATACTCTGCTATACTTTGTGAAGATGCCTGTTCAAAACACATCCTAAAAATCATGTAAATAGATTTTCAAAGTGCTTCTAAAGAAATCTGTAAATGAAAACAAGCAGCTTATTTCAAAATGCCAAAGTACAGATAGGATTCATAGAACTTCCTATTTTAATAGTCTATTCTAATTTGTCACAGCGTTAAATCAGTTGGAAATGTGGTAATGTAACATCAAGCAATCATCTTTCTCCCTTTGTAAATTTAATGTATAACTGAGCCTTAATTTAACTATTGTTTGAAATGGAAAACTGATTGGGTTGTTGTTTAGATCATTTAGGGACATTTGAACTATACCACATATTTAAGAAATAATGAGCAATTTATCTTGAAAACAACAAGTGAAAAGTAAGAGTCATTAGGAAATTCTTATCAGAGCCCCTTCATTTGCACCAGTATTGTGAGGTGTCTGTGCTAAGACAAATTTTATTGACATCTCTTTTGGTGTGATCAAGAACCAGGCTTCCAGGAAATAAGTTAAGTTACATTCGAGTGCTTTTATCCGGAATATACTAGATTCCTTCCTTAATATTACTAGATATTCAGAAAATTTGGTGCTTAACCACATTGTAAGTCTTTGTCTTTAAGGAATTTTTTAAATCTAATTGAGAAGAGAAGACTTAGATACATTTAATAGAGATCATTTCCTGATGACATAGGACCAAAATTGCATAATAATGACACCATCTCTGAAAATTATGGACTGTCAGAGAAGGGATAAACCATGCAGGCAGGAATCAGAACAGTACAAGAGTACTTCATGGAAATGGGGAAATGGAGCTAGACTTATAAAAGTGGGTGAAATTTCTATTCTGAAAAGCAGGGAGAAAAAAAATATCTTGCTAAACTAAAAAAGATTGTGAGCTCTGTGTGTGCAGGCACAAAACCTATATTTTGTTCACTAATAATTCAGTTTTTAGTGGCGTACATATTATTGGTATTTCTAAGAGTTCCTGAACTAGTGAATATAATTTACCACTCTTTAGCACTTGAGTTTCCACTTGAAAATAATTGAAAATTGGAGGGCTGATTCAGTTTTACTACTTGAATATTTTCATTTTTGACTCAAAGAAAAAAAGTGCTAAACAAATGTGTATTGCAAAATATGAAAACAGTTTCCAACTGTGTCTTTCATAAGACTTAGCACATTTTTGGAATAATTATAAATTATTTAGAATTAACATAATATAACAATAAATGTCTTCCTTGCCAAGTTTCACTGTACAAAGTAAGGCCAAAGTTGTTATACTCACTTCTGCCTAAAATGATCTTGGCCCCAGTTGTCTAAATTACTCTGTCCATCATCAAATTGTATTCAATGTCTAGTTCCAGGTAGTAGAATTAAAGCCAAATGTGAAGAGTAACATGCAAACAATGTTTCTTTCTGGTGCTATGATTCTGATTCATTTATACCATGAATAATCTACTTTCTATCACAGCTACTTGGAAACTAATGTGTATTTGTATTGATAATAGGAAGAGAATAATGAAGTTATTTTCTCTATTTCTTTTTTTTAAGGGGGTCATGTATCTGACACTTAAGAAATAACTCTACTTAAGCAATATGGGAAGTTAATTATTGTAAAAAAAAAGTCTAATAGGGATATATATATATCCCTTTCCTATCCCTCTCCAGCCATCTTCCTCATCATTTTCAGAATTACTGTTCTGAAAGATATGACCTCAAGGTGCCTGTGCACAAACTCCATGCCCTTCACAACATGGTCCCAGCCAACCTCCATGCTCCCTTCCCACTAACTCCACCATCATCACTCACCAGCATCATCCTTTTTTATCCTCCCACTGCTACATAGGACTGCTTTCTGCTCCTCAACATTTGGTCCTGAACAGTCATGTTTCTGGGCCTTTGCTTATGTGAGTTCTTCTCCCTGGAATTCCATTTTCTTAGTGGGATCCCATTTTGAGGACCTACAGATGTCAATTCCACTATGATGCCATCTTTTATCTGTTAAGTAAGTGTTGATTTATTCTTTCTCTGAGCTCTCCAGACCTGTATTCAGATAGTTTGTGTGTCCCTTAACATGATTTGCACATTTCCCCACTCAAGTATGCTTCTAGAGGGCAAGAACTCATTTATCACACATTTTATGTCCTATGAGAATTTGCTTAACATGAATTTGACTATATTTATTAAAGAGTTATTGAATGGATCTCCATTTGTTTTAGAAGTGCAGTATAATATCTTCGGTGTGTTGGCAAATAATAGTAAGTGTTTAAGAAGTATTTGCTGAATGAATATTAAATGAATTGCCTGGAGTTTTGATATTAGATGCAGAAAATGGTAAATGAATCCCCAGACTGGATATTTAGTGTTGATGAAGTTTTTAGGTGGTACCTTTTTTTATTACAAAAAAAAGTGACCCTAGTGAATAAACATCTTTTCTCCTGCATTGAGGAAAATCTACAGCTATTATTCTGTAATATAACACAAAGATGATTAAACTTCTAACATTTTTTTAAAGTTACAAAATTCAACTTTAACACCATTGATGAATTTTAAAAAGTCATTGGGGTGCCTGGGTGGCTTAGTCAGTTGAGTGTGTCACTCTTGGCTCAGTCAGTTGAGGTCATGATCTCAGGATCATGAGATCAGGCCCCCACACCAGACTCCATTCTCAGTCTGCTGGAGATTCTCTCCCTTTCTGCCTCTCCCACTCATTCTCTCTCTCTCTCTCTCTCTCTCTCTCTCTCAAACAAATAAATAAACCTTAAAAAATCATTGATTATAACCAAATTATGCATTTGTCCAAAAGAGTCTAACACAGCATTTCTCTCTGTATCAGACTGGGGCAAACCTTTATAGCATTTGCTGCCT